GCAGCAGCAGCAGCAGCAGCAGCCATTCGGATGAAGCAGCAGCACCAAGAGGGCCCCGCAGCTCATCTATGCATGCATAGATAGCTGCATGCAGAGTTTGTGCTTTTTCGTATCGTTGCTGCAGCCCTATAAGTAGCTGCTGCTGCTGTTCCTGCTGCTGCTGCTGCTGCTGCTCCTGTGTCTGCTGCTGCTGCTGCTGCACCGCAGGCAGCAAAGCTAGAAAACGTTGGCCTGGTGCTGCTCGAAGTGACCCCAGCAGCATGTCTGCCGTCATGCCTCCTGCTGCTAGCTTTTGTGCTGCTTTATCTCTTCTTGCTATTGCTGCTTCCCATACAGCTTCGTTGCGTAGAGCTAGCTGCTGCTGCTGCTGCTGCTCCTCTTCTTCCTCCTGTTGCTGCTGCTGCTGCTGCTGCTGCTCATCTACACACACCAAAAAACCACCGCTCTGCTGCAGCAAGTCCAATGGCGGGCTCATCATCTCTGCTGCTGCTGCTGCTGCTAGCCACTCATGCATGCGTTGTCTCCCCTGCTGCTTCGATACACCTCCTGCTGCTGCAGCAGCAGCAGGTGATGCTGCTGCATCTGCAGCACTTGATGCCAACCCATCTCCACGCTTCCCCTCCTCCCCCTCCCCCTCCCCCTCCCCCTGCTGCTGCTGCTGCTGCTGCTGCTGCTGCTGCTGCTGCTGCTGCTGCTGTATTGCTAGGGGCCTCTTGGGGGGGGCCTCCCACGAAGGCTGCGGCGGCTGCTGCTCAGTAAGGAAGCGCAGCAGCCGCCCGTCGCCAACTGCTGTTGGCTCTATACGAAAACGAACACCCTCTGACATTCCTGCTGCTGCTGCTGCTGCTGCTGTTGCTGCTCCTGCTGATGTTGGTGCTGCTGATGCTGCTGATGCTGCTGGAGCTGCTGCTCATGCGCTTGCTGTGGAAGATGAGATTGCTGCTGCTGCTGCTGTTGCTGCTGCAGGCGCTGCAGTTCCTGTGGTCGCTGCGGTTGCTGTTGCTCTTGCTGCTGCTGCTGCTGCTGTTGTTGTTGTTGCTGCTGCTGCCGTCGCCTCAGCTGCTTCTGCTGCCTCAAGCTGCTGCTGAGGATCCTCAGCTGCTACTAATATTTTGCTGCTGCCGCTGTCAACAGCCTTGCTGCTGTTGCTGCTGCTGCTGCTGCTGCTGCTGACTTTGGCATGTTGGTTGCTGCGTCGTTGTTGAATCTGCTGCTGCTGCTGCTGCTGCAGCTGCTGCTGCTGTTGCCGCAGCAGCAGCTGCTGCAGTCTCCGCGGGGGGTTATTGAAGCCTTAACAGTTTATATTGCTGTTGGTGTTGCTGCTGCTGCTGCTGCTGCCTTTGCTGCTCTTCTTCCTGCTGCTTATACATAAGCAGCAGCAGCAGTGCCCCTTAAATTGCGCCAAAGAAATTAAATTTTCAAATTTCTGATTTTTTAAACACATAAGACAGAGAGCAGCAGCAGCAACAGCAGCAGCAGCAACAGCAGCAGCAACAGCAGCAGCAGCAGCAGCAGCAGCAATTCTAGCTGTGTGCGCTGCTGCAGCTGAAAGATGACTGCTGCAGTGCAGCAGCAGCAGCTGCAGAATTGACCGGTAGTTGACACTTTCAGGGTCATTCGTGCCTGTCGGCAGCAGCAGCAGCAGCAGCAGCAGCAGCAGTAGCAGCAGCAGCAGCAGCAGCAGCAGCAGGTGCTGCTGTCGGCGCTAGACATGAAGCTCGTTTCAGCTGTCTGTACAGTCCGCGCTGAGCTCTACAACGC